TTCAGACAACAAACAGTTAAAACTGCACTTTATTGAGCTGTGAAGACAGAAATCAAATATAAATCACTGGCATTACTGAACTCACCGACGATCCATCAGTCCATCTTTTATTATTTGAAAAAAACAAAAAACCTGCCTCATATGAGTATTTATGATGAAACATGCAAAATACTGAATGTTTACAATGCTAATGATATTCCGATTTCAAGACCATTCAATTGAATGATAGAAATGATTATTCTTTAAACACATTTTGAGATTGACATTACAGGAATACACTTCTGTTTGAGAATCTCATAGTCACATAATCCACATGCTTGATACATACAATATCAACTTCATGTGCTTGTTTGCTCTTCATCAAAGTGAGATCTAAACGGTTTTAAATTTTTAGAAAGGAGGAAATCTGAAAACTCACCAGCTCTTTTTCTCCAGATCAGCCAGAGAACAGCAAGAAGGACAACAGTGAATGCAGCGGCAGACACAGAAATCACTGTGACTGAAGAAGAGATCAACATAGTCAGGGATTGATGACTATTAGAGTCAAAATAAAAGCATCATCAATGGCTTAAAATCAGTAGAACCTTGATCTTTAGAAGTTTATGATGATGTTGTAGTTGAGGGATCCTGAGAGTTTGTGATGTGGACTGGAATCACTGCTGTCACTGTTTCAGCTTGAGCTATAAAACATGAATTTCGGTTTATTTTTGGGACACGCTTCAGGAAGAAGTTTGTGGCAAGCATATTTTGTTTGTTTTCTTTATTTTACAAAAGCAGGGCATTTTACTGTTATTTTTGAAGGTACACCAATAAAAATAAACCCTTTGCCATTTTGAATGTCTTGACATGGAAGCCTCTTCATCATTAAACTAAACTAAACATATAGAGAAGTGATTCAGTTACTCTGTTTAATTCTGTTCAGTAGCCCGTGCTGGTCAGCGTGAGCATTCGTGCTCTTTTTCCAAACACATATTTTACGCATGTGTAGGATGCTGTTTTAATTTGACATTGGGACACAAGAGAAGTACAAAGCTTCTTTACATCATAAAAAATAGCTTAGAAACCCAATGTTCATCTAGAATAACGATTCAATCATGAAAACGATTCATGCCGAATGATGAGATGTTCGTGAGCAGTTTCAGTTTCGCTTTTACACTAGACAATACATGTCTAGTGCTGATAATGTTTGTTAAAGTTTCGCTTTATTTACCAGTATTTTGCATTATTTCTGAATGTAATAATAAAATGTGACTTATATACCGATGCGACTTCTGTCTGTGTGTGTGTGTGTGTTTCTCTCAACAATACAAGTTTGACCTGGTTTGACTTATTTTCCGAAAAATACGGCACACTGCAAATACAATAGATACCGTTTGCACCAAAAAAACAAAAAAAACCTGTTCAACACTCACAGCCACAGTAACTTTAGCCTGAATCACTGTTATAGCCCCTGCAGTAGAATATGACCATCACAATTTAACTTTGATCATCACATTACATAATAACTTGCTCAAGTCAAGTTTCAATTTCTTCATTATTCCCAGCAGCAGTTTTTGGACTGTTAAACTTGACTGCAGTTCATTAGTTTGCAGCAGTGCTTTGAGTTTCTTCTGTCAGACTGAAAGAAGCTTTTGTACCGCAGTGTGTTCTTCTTCAGTGATATTAACAGACTTTAGTGTTACTGACATTATGACGGTCTAAAACTGATTAATAAGATCTCTCTCTTTCTCACCTGAACTCTTGACAGTGTATGTGACTGAGCTCTTGACTTGATCTCTGTGAGTAACTTCACATCTCCACTCTCTGTTGTGATCTTCATTCAGGAGTGTTGTAGTCAGAGTGATGATACAGTGATCTGATGAGGATAATATCTGATATCTGGAGTCTGATCTCGTCAGTTTAACACCAGCCTGATTCACCCAGAACAGCTGAATTCTCTCATAACAGATCCAATCATCACAAGAGCCTCCAGCAAATGAATACAACTGACAGAAGAGAGTCACAGAGCGGCCTGCACTGATCTCAGTCTGTGAGGATGAGGAGGAGGATGAAGAGACTGAAACACAAAATAACACACAAATCACAGACTCTTCAATCATCATGAGAGATTAAATGAAGAATTTCCCTTTTTAAAATTGATCACATAATCATACAATTACCATGAAGAACATGCAGATCAACATGTGTGTCAGTTCGTTGTTCTCCATTCACATATTGTCTGCAGGTGTAATATCCATAATCTTCTTTTGAGATGTTCTTGATGTTCAGAGAGCAGTCAGACCCCAGACTCAGTCTCTCATGTCTCTCTGTGTCTTTCTTCTTTTTCCCTAAACCAATCAGTTCAACTGTTGCTGAATGTCTGAATTTGTTATAGAGCCACATAGTTGATGTGCAGTCATGAAGAGCATTATTACAGGACAGACTGACGTTTTCACCAGAACTGATGAACACATAAGTCACGTTCACTCCACTGGTACCTGAAACACAAGACCATATGAATGATTATTATACTACATATTAATAAATTAAACTTTATTGTATGCATATATACACACTGAACTCTTTAACAGGAGTTTAAAGAGCATGTAAGTGTGTTTACCTGTGAGAAGTGAAGAGAGAAAGATCAGTCCCAGCAGACACAAATGACACTCAACAGCCATTTTCTCTTTCTCTCAGTCTTCCTCTTCAGTATATGATCTCAACTCTTTCTTTAAATACTATCAGCTCTTCCTGTGTTTCTTCACTTCCTCTGATCTACAGACTGAGGGATATTGATAGAGTTGCTGTTTAGTGACTCAATACCAGTGCATAATGAAGACGTGCTGCTTCACTTATCTCTTGTAAATATTGATGAAATAGTTTATTTATCCTATAGAAGACATTTTAATACGTTTTTTTTTAAATTATTATTATTATTTTTTTTTTTTTACTATAACTAAAAAAATACAAACTGAATGAATGCTAAGTCCTGGTGTCCTCTACAGAAGACAGCATAACATACAAAAAATATATAATTTTTCTAAAATGTTATTAGTTTTCCATTTTTTCTTATGCTCTAAACAATGTAATGATATAAAAAAATACTATATTCATATGCACTATATATATATATATATATATGTA